AATTTCAAATAAAAAAACACATAAATGGCATTCATTTTCTAAATAAGATTTGAAAATATTTTTCTATTGGCAGCCTTTTGAATTAAATATTAAAATCAAATTAACTTGTCCAAAAAGCTCCTGTTTTCTGCCTTAAATTTCAAATAAAGAATAACCTGAACAACCTGAACCAAGACTGAACAAATGAACCTTCTAATATGGAACAAAGCTAATTTTGGTTTAACATTGAATATGGAACAAGCAACTCTTATTACATTGTATATAACTTAATAGTGCAGACATGCTAAGTCAAATTTCAAATAAAAAAACACATCAATGGCTTTCATTTACGAAATATGGTTTTGAAACATTTTTCTATTGGCAGCGTTCTGAATTAAATAGCAAGATGAAATGAACTTGTCCAGAAAGCTCCTGTTTTCTGCCTTAAATTTAAAATAAAAAAACAAATCAACGCCATTAATTTATGAAATAAGATTTTAAAACATTTTTCTATTGGCAGCCTTCTGAATTAAATATCTAAATTAAATTCTCTTGTCCAGAAAGCTCCTGTTTCTTTTCTTTTGGTCTTTAGCACAGTGACAGCTTTAGTGTGTAGCTACTGTCACAGAGGAGTTTCTGGGTCCTGAACAGCAGCAGGGCATTATGGGAGTTGTAGTACGAGCCATTAACCCTGTAATGCCAAATGTATCATATTTGATACATACTGTTTCTGAAATGTTTTGTTTCTGACACCTTTTGCATAATTTAATGGTAAAAACTTTGCTCAAAATCCTATTGTACACAATCAGATACACCTGATAACAGGGGGTAGAAGACTACACACAAAATAATCTTTACTTATCGCATAGGAATAAATTATTAATATCAAAAATGTATTTCTGTTTTTTCTTTTTACATATTTTGTTAAAAGGCCAAATAAAGACTTCAAACCAAAATAAAGTGATTTTCTGTTTTGTTTTATTCTTGGATCAGGCTTTAAAGGGTCAAAGGTCTGTACAGTATAATAACGGGGGCCAGCTCTAAGAGTAATTTGTTATTGTCTCGTGGGCCAAATATAATAACAATCCGGGACAAATTTGGCCCGCGGGCCAGAGTTTGACACCCCTGTATAGAAGGAGGCATTTTCTTACAAATGGCAGTTAAACGACTCTGTTATTTGCACAAAACAAGTGGCTTTGGCAGCGTGTTAGTGGCGAGAAAAGCAGCGGGCGGAGGGCGAGAAGCCAAAGAGCTGCTGCAGACAAAAACAACCAATACAACCTTTTATTGGGACTCGCGTTAGAGAAGAGGCTGGTATAGCCCAAAAGGTTTTCCACACTGGTTAAAAAGAATTAAAGGTTGTGATTAGACATTGAATCATTTCCCCTCAATAATTTCTACAGCAGAACCTCTACATGGGAGTCTAACTGGTTCCAGGAGCGACTTCTATGTTAAATATTGGTGTGTTGGTTTGAATCTTCCATCAGAATACTCTGTAATTCTTAGAATTGGTTCCAAAAACCTACGAAAACTCCTTAATAAATACTGCAGATAATTACACATAGCAAGAAAACAAATTACTTATAAAGAGATAGGTAAAAATAAATAAATGATAAAGAAATAATCAGTAAAAAGGGTTTTTATTGTCCCTTTAGCTCAGAGACTGAAGAACGGAGGTAGAGGTGGAGACTGAGATACAGGACCAGCCCTAACTCACTCTGACTTTACACAGGATACCTACACCAACTTAGACTAGTTATTTTTACTTAATTTTTGTATTTTATACATATTTTTCTATAACTTCAACGTCATTTATTTAATTTTTATATTTTCAATTTTTTTTCTGACTTAAAGATGTCATTTATTTCATTTTTAGATATTTTTTCTACGACTTAGATGTCATTTATTTGATTTTTATATATTCTTTCTATGACTTTGACGTCATAAACTAACTTAGCTTTATTTTTATTTTATTTTTATATTTAATTAATCTTTTTTTTTACTTTGATGTCATAAACTAACTTAGCTTATTTATTACTATTTAATTTTGATATTTAATTTTTTTTTTCTATGACTTTGTCGTATGTTGGACATATCCTTTGGGTGTCGAGTCGAATATTTGATCAAATTTCCCTTTATATGTTGGAAAACTTGCATGTTTAGACATCGTAAGTAGAGGTTCTGCTGTATTAGTGTGTCCATGCAAAAGTCATCAGATGGTCTTCATGATGAGTTTAGAGTATTAAGAGTTGATGAGAGTATTAAAGCGGTTGTATTAAAGTTCAGTTCAGTTCGGGGGAGGGGGGAACTCACCTTTTCTCGACAGCATCGATGTTCCTGAGCAGCAGCAGCAGCGGGGGGGGGCCGCCCTCCTCCCGGCTGGAGAAAAGCAGGTGATGGGCGGTGATGCACAGTGTTCCTTTAATGGGAACCATCAGAGGCCCCCGGAGAACCACGTCCTCCACGTTAGCCGTCCGGATGTGCTCAGAAAACTCCATTAATCCGACTCAAACTCCTCCGTTTTAACCGGGTTTTTCTCTCCTCTTCAAATCACTTCCCTCGCCTCTCTTGAGAAATTGAAAGCAAACTTCCTCCTCTGGGCCCTGAGCTGTTAGGGGCTGTTTTTGGGGCGATAAGCGCGCTATAAATAGCAGAAGTTTCAGATTGCCTGTTTCGCAGCCTGCACCTTTTCACACACGTCTTTCTCAACGCGGAGCTGCGGCAGAAATGAACGCGTCGGCTGTACAGAAGACGGAAGCCAGCAGTTTCCTGAGAAAAAGAAATGTGTCACATCTTTTTCTGCACAAACTTGAGGGGGGGGGGGGAGTAGTGATGAAGGCTCGGAGCCACTCTCAGACTCAGAGAGAAGGCCAGAATCACAGGTTTAGTTCCACTTTAAGATGGAATCTACATTATTGTGCAGTTTAAGAAACATTCGGTGTAGACTTCCTGTGCTCCAGGTCCTGGAAACCCCAAAAGAAGCAAAGTTAGAAAGGTAAAGTAAAGTAAAGGTAACTTGACCTGGTTGAGGACACCTTAAAATAACAAACAGAAAATAAACAGATGCCTTAAAAAGAAAAATACAGGCCAGTGATATACATTAAGATATCTTCTTAGATCAAAATAAAATATCCTGAGTGCCTTTATACTATGAGAAACTCACTTAAAATGCAAAAATCTGAAGCCAAAAGGCTGCAGTTAATATTTCTTTCTAGAGAACAAACAGATTTTGATTTTTAAGAAAGTATTCTTTACTGTTTGAACTTAAACAGGGTCTGGCTCAAAGTATTACCAGAACCCTTCAGGCCAAAGTTCCAGCTAGCTGTAGTTTTCTGATTCAGAACGCCTTTGATTTCAATAACTCACCTCAGAGGGAGTTATTGATAAGAGCAACACTTTGGCATTTCTCTTTGAACCTTGAGAATGAGATCGAGACCCACAAGTTTCCAAACCCATCGATTTGTCATTTCAGGGGGTTGTACAACCTGCCGAGCTGCCTTTCTTCTGCTTTTTTAGGCACTTTGAGCACACTCATTTCTTCCCTTTGGTTGTTAGACTGAAGTATAGACAGAGTCTGGATTTGAACACACTGGTTTTCCAACAATCTGCATTATTTAAAGGTCAGACAAGAGACACAAGCAGAACAGGTGGAAAAAATCCAAGACACAAGCATGTAATCCAGATCTTAAAGCCACAATCCAAATCCAGGAGCAGAGTTGGATCAGAACCAGGGTCCTCATAGAGAAAGAGAAAGAAATACCAGTTTCCTGCTGCCCTCTGCTGCTCAGAGGCTGTTTTTCAATCCTCCTGCAACCAATTAGTACATTTTTTTATTCAAAAACTTTTACAAAACTTACAGAATACTTCGCCAATCATTTTTACTCTCTGGGTTTCTTGGGTCTCAGTTAGAAAGCCGGTTCTCTGGGGAAAGAGCTTTTGCAGCACGGCTTATTTTTGCAAAGCTGCATCTGAGCAAAGCTCCAGACTTCTGGATCAAAGAGCAGAGCAAAGTGGACATTTTTGGGCTCTTAAAACTGTCGGTGAAAGACTTTCAGGATGCGGTTGGAGTGGGAGATGGTCTGTAGTGGTGAAAGCACAACTCTCACTTCAATCATCAATGTTGTGGCTTAAATGGGTAACAAAAAAAGACACTGAGATCTAAATAAGGTAACTCAAGATTAATGTAAAAGCCACGTGATTACAGGATATGATTATCCCAGATTGTTATGAAAGTTTGATATGAAGCATCAAGCTGACTTGTTGAATAGACAACAGCTTTACGAGTCACGAGGTAACAACACTGCAGATGTTGTTACTTAAAGGAAAGTTACACACCCTAAATGGGGCATTTTCACTTTGCACTTACATTTAATCATTTCCACTAAAGTATCTTCCACATTTCTGTGATGGAATGTCTATCTGAGAAACTATTTCAGATTATTTCATCATTAAGGAAGTGGAACTTTTCATAAGGCCTTTCAGAGGTCTTGTTTTGTGGGTGTGGGGGGGGGGGGGGGGGGGGGTGAACTTGTGGAGGTGTGTCCTGCTGGAATCTTTCACCAAAATAAAGATCACGTGCTTTTTCATGGGTTTTATATCCGGGAAATACCGCCCTCTTGTGGACAATGGGGGTGTGGCAAAAATAACAGCGCTTCTGGACGTGACCATTCAGACGACATTGCGGTGACGTGAACGTTATTAACCAAAAATGACCTAATATTACCATAAAACGCTGAATATTATTACTTGTAATTTTAACTGTTAATAGTACTAAAAATCAGAGCAATCACGTGACGAGTATTTTTAAAGCACTTGCTTTGGTCCCCCGTGTTTTGACGCGGAATGGTACGTTCCAATACTATTGAAGGCAAAGCTGACAAACGGTTTGTTTTCCCCGAGAGGAAGAAGCGTCTCGCGCTCCCAACGTCTCAGCATCTTAAAAAAAAAAAAAAAAAAAAACGGTTGTAACGTTTTCTAACTGGTCGGGTTTTTCGGACAGCCGGTCCTTTTTTTTGCTCGCCATGGCTCTGTGCGGGGGCGTCGGAGCCATGGCTTTGCCAAGCGAGCTCATCGTCCACATCTTCTCCTTTCTGTCGGACCGAGACAAGCTCCGGGCCTCGGCCGTGTGTTCCCGGTGGAGGGAGTGTCTGTTCTACCCGGCTTTGTGGACCGAGCTCCGGCTGCGGATAGGCGGCCGTAACGGTAACGGCAACGGCCATAACGGCAACGGTCGTAACGGCCCTAACGGCTCTGGCTCGAGCTCCGACGAGACCCCAAAGCTGGAGTTCCTCATGCGGAAGTTTGGCTCTTTCGTGCGGGATTTGCAGCTGGAGCTCGCCCCGGCGGAGGGAAACATGGGCCATCTGAACAATGACCCGTCCACCGCCCGGATGGACCAGCCTCCCGGTCCCGACGGGGACCCGCAGCTGTCGGAGCGATGGAGGGACGCCATGGCCACCTACTTGGACCAGGTGTTGTGCGTGTTCACCAGCATTAGAAACAATAGGTATAGTTAAACTCGTCTTTAACAGCCTCTTATGTTTTTTTTTTCTGCGTTTAAATGTCAGATTTCCGGTTATTGAGCAGTCTCAACGTCTGCCTGCTGCAGTGAGCTAGCCGTTAGCTAGTTAGCCGCTAGCTAGCTAGCTTAGGTGGCTATAAACAAACCAGGTATTGTGCGTGTTCACCAGCATTAGAAACAATAGGTATAGTTAAACTCGTCTTTAGCAGCCTCTTATGTTTGTTTTGTCTGCGTTTAAATGTAAGATTTCCGGTTATTGAGCACTCTCAACGTCTGCCTGCTGCAGTGAGCTAGCCGTTAGCCGATAGCTAGTTAGCTCGCTAGCTAGCTAGCTAGCTTAGGTGGCTATAAACAAACCCTGGCATTAGCAGTTACGTAATGTGTCTTTGCGGTGCCGCTGACAGCCAGTGTTGTGTTAGGACAGACATGGTTGATTTAACAGCCCTCTGTTGGACATCTGCCACCAGAACACATATTTGTTTTATTCGTTTTGAGGCTGTCATTACTTTAGACTGTACGCATCTCCAGTTTGGAGGTGAAATGGGTTTCCATAAGGCAGCAGACACAATGCAGCACCGGTGCCTGCGAGAGAAAGCTTTGTTGACCATGACTTGCTGATATCAGCACCAACACGCACGCACATTTGTGTGTAGATATATTCATCCCAGGCATGCTGAAGAAAACAATAACATACAGTCTAGATAAATTAGATTCTTTTACTGTGATGGACATTTCCAGTCTTCAAAAGTTTGCTCTAAATACTTTTGATTTCAGGGTAGCACATCTATGAGACCTTCTCCAACATTCTGCTTTGCTCTCCACGGCTTTGTGGTGTTGAAAAGGGGCCATCCACGGGGTTTCACTCCGTGTCTTCGTTCTGCTGAGGGGGCTGAAACCTTTTGCTCTTGTCTGAATTCGTCGTGTTGAATAGTTTCTGCTTACAGATGTACTCGGTCTGTTCCCACTCCATCTGATGGAGTTTGGAAATGCAGCTAATCTG